ATCCATTACCCCTTGTCCTACCACTACAGTCCCTAAGGAAGAGTCCCTCCCCAGCATCCTTGTAGGCCCCCTTCAGACACTGGAAGCTGCTATAAGGTCTCCACGCAGCCTTCTCTTCTCCAGGCTGAACAGCCCCAATGTTTTCAGCCTGTCTCCATACGGGAGCTGCTCCAGCCCCTGATCATCCTTGTGGCCTCCTCTGGACTTGCTCCAACAGCTCCATGTCCTTCCTATGTTGCGGACACCAGAACTGCACCCAGTGCTGTGAGTGGGGTCTCACGAGAGCAGAGTAAAGTGTATGTGTATTGATCATGGCCTGAATGAAGGTGCTTTTGCGGAACTATTGAATCCAATCCGTGAGAAGTGGGCACTGCCCTGCATGCTGAGCAAGTCACTGAAACCAAACTTTAGGATAGAGATGTATTAACATTATCATATCTACCTGTATACCTCAGGTTTACCTGTATGCATGTGTGTATATATATATATATATGTGAGGTATCCAGATTTGAGGTCCTTTGATCTGACTTGCAAAAAGTTCCTCTTTGTAGTGGTGACTGAGATTTTGCAAGCCAATATTTGAGTTTTATTACGTGTTAAAGACAAAGCCAACAGAAAACCTGGCTGCCTGAGTGGAAAATGCCATCCCGCTGAATTCCTCCTCCCTCAACCTCTGTATCCAACAGTGAGAATATGACATGCTGTGTAATTGCTGATGGATTCAGCAAACCCAGTCCTGAGCACTGAGGGTGATGGTTTATTTGCAGTGTCTCCAATGCGTACTTCAGCTCATGCTCATTCTTCTAACTTGAGTGCTTAATTATTCACATAAAGCATTTCTTTACAGTGTAAAGTTCTCTGTTAAAAAGTACACTGGAAAGAGGGATCAGGGAATTACAGTTTATATATAGAGTCTGATGTGCAAAGAATGCAGTTGTTTCTGTGTATAGAGTGAAGCAGTTCCAAACTGTGTTGTCTCACACTTGACAAAAGAACTTTAAATTTGGGTGCGTTTTACTCTGAAGAGTGAGTTTTTGCACCTTGTCCATTGAAAAACTGCCATGTTTTAATGCAGGTTAAACTTTTATACAGGTTTGCTGCTTCCTCGTTCTTGCAGATGCTGAAGCTCTTAAAGTGGATTCTTAGCTTGGAAATCTTCAGTTAAAATAGTGGTGATTGAATTTTAAGTGTAGTTGGGGGGAAATGAGTTGCTTTGTTAGAAGTTGGGTATTGCCAAAGAAATGACCTATACACTTTTACTCCCTAGAGTAACATCGTTGTTGCTGTGGAAAATGAAGATTCAGGGTGACTATGGTTTGGGTGTTGGCATCACTTCATTTAAAAACTGTTCACTTTTGTGGTGATACAAGACAAGTGGGTGGCTTTAATAGTCCAGGACAGGAAGGGAACTAAAACTTGGGCAAGTAAAGCTTTCCTTGTTCCCAACTGTGTTGGCTGACCCAAGGGCTAAGGCGCAACACAAGGACTAGTGTCAGTCATGCTCACTGGATCCTCTGCAGCTCTCATTGCTGGTGTTTGTCCCATCAGAGTGCCTCACCTTAATGGAAGGCTTTAGTAATTCCCTGCTAAGGTGGAGGTGCTGTGCTGGCTTAGAGGTGAAAATACAAGGTCGATGAGGAACTAACTGAACATCAGCTGTCAGTGTGCGCTTGCAGCCCAGAAACCACCTATGTGCTGGGCTGCATCAAAAGGAGCATGACCAGCAGGTCAAAGGAGGTGATCCTGCCCCTCTGCTCTGCTCTGTGAGACCTCACTTGGGGTATTGTGTACAGTTCTGGTGTACTCAAAACAAGAGGACCTGGAGCTGTTGGAGCAAGTCCAGAGGAGTCCACGAGGATGATAAGCGGGCTGCGTGAAGACCTCAGAGCAGCTTCCAGTGTCTGAAGGGGGCTACAAGGATGTCAGAGAGGGACTCTTCATCAGGGACTGTAGCAACAGGACAAGGGGTGATGGGTTCAAACTGAAACAGGGGAAGTTCAGGTTAGAGATAAGGAAGAAGTTCCTCCTCATGAGGGTGCTGAGGCGCTGGCACAGGGTGCCCGGAGAATTGATGAATGCTCCATCCCTGGCAGTGTTCAAGGCCAGGTTGGACAGAGCCTTGGGTGACATGGTCTAGTGTGAGTTGTCCCTGCCCATGGCAGGGGATTGGAACTAGATGTTCTCAAGGTCCTTTCCAACCCAAACCATTCTGTAATTCTATGATAAGTGAGTCCCTAAACGTTGATTTATTCCCTTCCCTTCCTGAGTGAAGCAAAACCTCTCCGGGCACCTTGTCCTTCAGAGCATTTGTTTTGCCACAATGAGCATGGATCAGAACAACGTAGTTTAGAGTCTGAGAACGTGTTCAGTAGCTCAGCAAAGACACGTGCTTGGTAGTAAACGTGGCAGAGTCCATATTAAACCCTTTTGAAAAGGGAAAGAAACTGAAAGTGGAAGTTCAGACACTTGAAACCTGCCACGTGACTATATTTAGCACGTGGTTTCCCTAAGTCTATGGGTATGGGAGAGTTAAATAATTCCTGTGGCCCTGAAAGCCACCAGTTGGTTATGAATGAGTGCCAGGGAAAGGAAATAGAGATGACAGCTGCTTTTCTGTTTATTAAACTAGATATCTTTCTCCAGTCTAAAATAGAATGACCCAGAAACTATATATTTAATAACAAACCTGTTATGTAGTAACCTATTCAGGCAGAAGAGGGCTGATGGGTCTATTTATAAACTAGTTCTAGGCTTACATAGGAAGTGTGAAGCTGGTAATGCTGAAGACCTGTCATAAATGCTCATCCTGGTGGCTCCAGTGATGGTCTGACTTGGAAGAGTGAGTGTAGAACAACACTGAACTTCCCTGGGTGGCTTGATTTAATAGTGTGGAGAACAAAAGGAGCTTCACTGCAAAGGCCATGGGTAGGGTTGTGCAGCAGCCCCAGTTATTGTCAGTTTGTGGTTTTATCTTTACATTCAGTACAAGTTTCACTCCTCCCTAATAACATGCTTGTGCAGAAATGGTTAAACAGAGAAATGAATAGAGTTCAATGTGACTCTGACTGCACTTGCAGCTTGCAAGGTGCAGTTTGGAAGCTGGACCAGTCTCTTTGATGTGGATGTGTAACTTCTGCCCAGTTAAAGAGCCTGTGTCTGAAGTTAGCAGCACCATCCAAACAATTGGCTTCAGCTCTGCATCTGTGAAGACCAGCTTTCTTGATTTACATCCTGCTGTGTCAGTGGTATCAGGAACTAATTTAAAGTACATTAATAAAACTTACACTCAGTTGTGTGATGCAGAAGCATTGCACATGGTTGTCATCAAATAGTAGCATGGACCAGAGCTTCAAACAAGCTCGGGGTTGGCTGCAGCTGCCTGTGCGACAGGGCTGGAGTTGCTTGTTGGTGTTGGGGTGTACCCTAACAAGCTGTTAAGGTGCCATACATGACTTGCTCTGCTCTTTGTGCATCTTCACTTCCAAATGTGTTTAATCATAAAGCAGAAGTTTTACTCTCCTAATGTTACGTAGCATCTTTGTAAGTGTTGTAATTTGAGGCTGTGGTTTTAGTGCAGTTACTCTCATTCGTGTCTGTGCCAGGCTTCTAATGAACAAACACTTCAGTTGATAGTCTGGGTTTTTGGAATGCTTCATGACTACTGGGACATGAAACATACTGATGTTGCTTATAGAAACAGGATGGAAAAGTGTCAGATAGCTTGGTATACGTCTGAAATCTCCTAGACTTGTTCTCTCCAGGTTGAGTAAATCACTCGATTTTATGTACACTTGTATCACATCGTTCAGAGCTATAGAGAATAGTCTGACACATTTAAAATCCTGGTAGCAGTCCAAAAATCTCCACGCAGCCAGCTGTTTGCAGCTCTTGAGGCAATATATAGCATAGAATCATGGATTGGTTTGTGTTGGAAGGGACCTTAAAGCTCATCCAGTTCCAACCCCCTGCCACGGGCAGGGACACCTTCCACTAGAGCAGGTTGCTCCAAGCCCCTGTGTCCAACCTGGCCTTGAGCACTGCCAGGGATGGGGCAGCCACAGCTCCTCTGGGCACCCTGTGCCAGCGCCTCAGCACCCTCCCAGGGAAGAGCTTCTGCCCAAGAGCTCATCTCAGTCTCCTCTGTTTCAGTTTGAACCCATCACCCCTTGTCCGATCACTTTAGTCCCTGATGAAGGTCCCTCTCCAGCATCCTTGTAGCCCCCTTCGGACACTGGAAGCTGCTCTGAGGTCTCCACGCATCTTCTCTTCTCCAGGCATCATTCCATGTGTAAAGCCCCTTTCTTGTCTGTTAAGTGCTTGGGTTTATTTGCTGTGGTTAAGAAGCAGTTGGTTCCTCCGTTGGCCATACATCAAACTTGGGCTGTGTTCAGTGGTTAAATAGTGTCAGCCCAGAGAGGAAAAGTAATTTGATGTTCTCTTAGCATGTGGAACATACTGTATTTATCTAATTGTGTATTCAGTTTAGGTTTCATTTCAGGCTGGAGTGGGCGTTTGAATCATCACTCTGTGTAGTTTGATCCTATTTGCCAGATTTCAGGAAGTCTTGCATCCAACTTGAAGGAATGTGCGTAAGCCCTGAATAGAAATGCTATTTTATAGGTATAGGTGTTTCAACCAAATCTTTTTCCTGGATAAACTACTTCTAAAGTCATATTCCTAAAAACCCCTTTGTTCCATCCCAGAAGAAAATACAATAATGGGGAAGGATCATCACAACTTTCATTCTTTGGCTCTGGAAACTGTTTGAAGGCTGTAATGCTTCTCCCTTAGTGTGTTTTGCAGCCTTGGCTTTCCTATTAAAACTCATTGTTCTCTCTTCCACAGTATTTGATTCTGAAACTTGAAAGACCTGCCATAGTCCAGAGTATCACATTTGGCAAATATGAGAAAACACATGTCTGCAATTTAAAGAAGTTTAAAGTCTTTGGTGGGATGAATGAGGAAAATATGACAGATCTCTTATCCAGGTAAGATGTGATTTCATCAGCTATGGGAATCATAAAGGCTGGACCAAAAGGCTCTTCCCCTTCATACCCCAGCAGACCCATGGCTCACAGTGGGATAGAGCTGTGGTTGTGATCCTGCAGTTAGCTGTCCTCGTGTTTATGGGCGGGTCAGAGTGCAGCAATCCCCAACACTGGCTCCAGGAAGCCTTCCTTATCCTGCTCTAACCACAGGGGATTTGTGGAGAGCAAACTCTGGGAGATTTGGAAGAGCTGAGAGCAGAGGGTGATGTTGCTGGGTTGTGATTCCTATTTTCTGTGTGCTTGAGGCACAAGAGAAATGATTCCCCAGGTGTGGAGAGCTTAAAGTAGCTTTTGAAAGCCCAAAGAACCTGCTTATGTCAAGAACCTCATTGCAGCTGAGGAGGCCTGAACTAGTCAGCTGCTCTGCCTGTCTTCTAATGGGTAAATACATCAAATAAGCAAACAGAAAAGCTGTGTTTTCCTTTGTTTAGTTTGATAGTTGCACTGATAAGGGCTAAAGAAAACACCTTTTGGTTATTCCAGCTATCCAGAGCTTCCGAGGAGTTGCTAATGTAAATTGGCAAAGGCCTTCTTGAGGAGAAGAAGGAGGAATCATATTGAAATGTCTTGGGAATACAAGAGAAATGAATAGCAAGAAGTAGTCTATTTTTGGAGGCCAACAGAAGGAAAGTCCACCTCCGGGGAACGTTTGGGTGTACATCATCTGTAGTCAAGTGGAATAGCCATGGAGAAATGCAAGTTCTTTGTTGCAGGAGTCCTTCAAGACCACATAGAAACTAGCCACAACCCTTCCCACCCTTTTGCCCTCTTCAGACAGACCAGTTTGACTTCATTGCTGCTAGAATAGTGATTGTCGAGACCTAATGTCATTTCACTTGTACTAAAGTCGAATAAAAATCCTTATTTTGGGTCCTACGCTTGCATCTTCAGTAAAAATCCTTAAGCTTTTTGAGAAATGACACTAAATATTTGATGTGTTCATGAAGCAAAGCCCATCAGTGGCTCCCAAAGCCCTTTGGTGGGGTGGTATCACTGAGAGCTGGTCCATCGCCCCTCTTGCCAATGGGAGAGCGCGGTTCAGGCACATCCCTTCCTGAAGCCACAGGGTGACAGGCACAGACGAGCAGCATTGATCCCATGTCCCTTCCCTCCTGAACCCACTACCCAGTGCTGCCTCCCAGGGAGATAGAAGGTGGTAGAGAGCAGTCCAGGCATTGGTCCAGCATGTGTACTTATGATTCATAGTAACATGAACCATTTCAGGCATGACCTAGATTGCATTTATTAGCTAGTCCTAAAATACAAGGTAAGATTTAGTAACCTTATTTATTTTTTCCCACAGTGGCTTAAAGAATGATTATAACAAAGAAACATTCACCTTGAAGCATAAAATTGATGAACAGATGTTCCCCTGTCGATTCATTAAGATAGGTAAATGCATTTTTTCAGCATTCTGAGTAGAAAATAATCTCTTCTTATACTTGTGCCAATCTTGGCACTTGTGACTTCATTGTACTCAGGCAAAGTATCCACAAGAGCTGTTCCATTTCGTGATCTTTTAGGCTGCTTAGATTGGAACCCAGTGAAGTCCTGTGAATAAGAAGTAACAGCTTCATAATATAAATCCTGGGGAATGAAAGTGAAATACAGTAGTGTTCAGAAATAGAGTTGTTGAGTCAACTAGTTGCTGGAGAAGCTGCTACTGTCCTACTAGAAATTGCTATATCGAACTTTAAATAAATCATTAAGCTAAATCCTGTGTCAGCATTGGCAACCCTAGAGTTGGAGAGAGGTTGAACTCTTAGACACTATCACAACACATAGAGCAACAGCAGAAGCTTTGCTTGTTCTCTTCCTGGTGCTCTAATACTTATGTCTTGTCTCTGGCTAAAGATGACATCCAGGGGGCAGAGAAGTGCTGTCTGGTCTTGTCTCTCTGGTGGAGCTTGCTAAAGGGGGGGCTGGTGAAGGCAGGTTGCTGTAACCTGTGTTGGGAGCAAGTGAGGAGCTCTCTTCCTTGCTCCATGCAGGCCAGAGAGAGCAAGAGTCTTACAGTGGCCATCAGTGGATTTAAGCCAAGAATTTAGAGCCTTTCAGCTGTTTGTAGCTCAGTAAATTTCTCTTGCCCTTCCTATACTGAGATAGTAAAAGGATGGCTGGTTTTAAACTGGCCAGTTAAGGTTTAAAATAGAGCAAGGAGGTAGCTGCTGACAAATGAGATCTATTGACTCATTTAGATGAATTGAGTGCTTCAAAGCGTTGGCTAATTCCTTTGCCAAGACTTGGATGATAGTGGCTGTGTAGGGGCTCCCCTCAGAGCCCTCTGCTCGTGGCTCTGCATGGCTTCCTGCATCTCCCCTCATGTTTGCCTGAGGAATTGAAAGCTTCAGGCTGGGAATCGAGGCATTGTTTGTGTGCCATGAACAGTGGTGTTTCCGTTCGTGGAGGAGCAGAGAAATGGGTTGTGCACTGGGTTTGGTTTTGGCTGCTACTTTTGGAACCATTCATAACACTTGGCTTTAGGAAACCTCAAGAGGAGCAGAGGAATAGAATTAAAGGTTGACTACAAGAGGAAAGTTGATTTCTGAAGCTTTCTACGTTAGGTTTTTAGGAAATGTTATTTTACAGTGGCTAGAAACCAGCAAGTAGTTACTGGAGGGCTAAAAGGGTGGATGGAGGGATGGAAAGATTACCAGCTACTTGTCTGGATGTGTGAATCCTGTCCAGCAAAATGGGTTGTGATGTTACAAAGTGTTAGCAGCAAGTTGAAACCTGTGAGGGAAAGTGAAATGCTTATTAATTTCTACTACCACGATTTTATTTTCTCTGACATGAGTAATGTTAATAGTTCCATGGCTTGTTTTGTTGGGAAGTGGTTCCACACATAGCAATAGGGATCGAGGCCAGGTTGGAGCAACCTCCTCTAGTGTGAGGCACCCCTGCCCATGGCAGGGGGTTGGAACTAGATGATCTTAAGGTCCTTTCCAACCCAAACCATTCTGTGATTCTATGATTTATGTACATTAAACACAAAACAAGATTTGTATTTAACTGTCACTAGTTAATAGTTTGAGATGACTTTTCCTATTCAGTTATGCCTATAGCCTTCTGTTTCTTAAATCTCTCCCCTCTGAAGAAATCCCTGTGCTAGAAACTAGTATCTCTTCCCCAAACCCTAGTAAAGCCTCCAGCTGATGGATACTTTCATTTTGCTTATGCAGTTCTGAGGGTGTCCTTTGCTGTGACACAACTGCAAACCCAGGTTACGAAATGGTGTTGTTTTTTCAGAGTCACAGCTTGTGACTGTGTTTTGGGTTTGTTAGAATTTCCAAGCTGCTGGCCAAAGGAACTCACAATGTGCAACACCGTGCTGTGTTCCTGGTAGTGCTGCCAGGAAACAGGAGGCCCAAATCTGCCCTTTTGGACTTGCAGAGACCAACGCGGCTGAAGTTGCTGCTGTTCGTGAGGTTTGTGTATTTGGGGGTGGCATTAGTGAGTTCTGCAGCAGCTTCCATCAGGCGTTTGCTGTCTGATCCCAGAGCTAAACACACTGTTAGTAACACAGCAATGAGGTTGATGTGGGGGGAAAAGGCAGGAGAAACATGACATTAGAACACTCAAGGGGGACCTTATCGCTCTCTGCAACTGCCTGACAGGAGGATGGAGCCAGGAGGGGGCTGGTCTCTGCTCCCAAGGAACAAGGGATGGCACAAGAGGAACCGGCCTCAAGCTGCCCCAGGGCAGGTTTAGCTGGAGCTGAGGAACAATTCCTTGCCCAGAGGGTGCTCAGGCATTGGAACAGGCTGCCCAGGGCAGGGCTGGAGTCACCGTCCCTGCAAGTGTTCCCAGCCCGTGGAGCCGAGGCCTCAGTGCCAGGGGTCAGTGGTGGCCTTGGCAGGGCTGGGAATGGTTGGGCTGGATGAGCTTAAAGGGCTTTTCCAACCCAGTTGATTCTATGATTTTACGGGTAAATGTGTGAGAGGGGAAAATACTTCCTACTCCTACAACTTCTGTTGCTCTCGTAGTAGCGAAAGTGTCACATTCATAGAAAGCAGAAGAAATAACTTCTCTCTCTGTCAAGAAAAGACTTGCACCTCTTTTACTTAAACCAGTTCAACTTCAGCTCCTGTTGCTGTGCAGGCTTTTGTCCTACTTCACAAGTAACTTTTACGTTTCATGTAGCACCTCATCTAAGAGCTTGGGAGGGGGAAGAAGATACTTCTCCAGACAAAATACTGAAGAATAATCATTTTAATGCCTTTGAGCTTTGTTTCTGGCTCTGGTTTTGTGGTTACTCCGAGTAAAGCTTTTTCTTTGTACCATGTCCTTGAAAGCAGAAGGCGTTGTAAAGACTGATTGCCATGAAGGAACTTGAAGAAGTGCTGGTGTAATTCTCATGCCATTTTATTACCAGCATGGGAGTTACTAACAAGGCTTCAAGATTTTGAAGCTTTGGTCTGATAGAAATGAGCCAGACTTTATTTATGGACGTTCCCAGTGTTTTTACACACATAAGTTGTTAGTCTGTCTACTGCCTGGAGAGGAGAGACACAGGAATAACCTTGAGAGAGGTATTTGAAATGATTCTACTGTGTTTAATGCCTCAGTCCTTGCACCCAGCATCCTACATTGCTGTTACTTCCAACCTTTGTACAGAAATAGAGATGGGATTTGTGTGCCACACTGACAAGTAATGCTCATAGCTGTCTGTGTGACTGTTGCTACTTCCTTGCTGCACTTATTGTTTCCTCCTTCCAGGTCGGAGTTGGACTGTGGCCCTTCTAAAGGGAGATTAGTCAAATGGACACCTCAGAGAGAAAAGGGCAGAGGAAAGGTGGAGATGTGGCTCCTTCCTGTAGCCTGCAAGTAGCTTCAAAAATGAGGAGATGATCCAGCAATACATTTGGATCTTTCTTAACCGGGATAGAAACCACTTTGTAGTTTCAACCCTTCTGCTTTGTTGCTTTTCATACTCCTATGGAGATGATGATCAGCTTCAGCTTTCTGTGCTGCCCAGCACTGGGGAAGCATTTACTTTCTGTTCCCTGTGTAACTTAATGACTGTTTAAGACTTTCCTTGACTTGAAAGGAGGGAACTGCACAACAAAAATTGTGATGTTAAAATCGCCATTTCTGGTGTTTTGTTTCCTCCTTGTAAACAGAACTGTTAAAAACTCTGAGTTAATTGGGGAGAGAAGGTTTTGCAAGTCGGTGGCTTTGCATTGTTCCTGGTGATAGGTGCCCAGGATTCTATTGCACATCCCAAGAATGTCTTTCATGTTGTGTTTACTTACCAAGAAGGTGAATTGTTAAGTTTTTCTGGGGGAAACTCATATATAAGTTTTGAGACAAACTGTTCAAAAGGAACCACAGAGTGGTTTGGGTTGGAAAGGACCTTAAAGCTCCTCCATCTCCAACCCCTGCCATGGGCAGGGACACCTTCCACTAGAGCAGGTTGCTCCAAGCCCCTGTGTCCAACCTGGCCTTGAACACTGCCAGGGATGGGGCAGCCACAGCTTCTCTGGGCACCCTGTGCCAGCGCCTCAGCACCCTCACAGGGAAGAGCTTCTGCCTCAGAGCTCATCTCAGTCTCCCCTCTGGCAGGTTAAAGCCTTCGCTCTTGTCTTGTCCCTACATCCCTTGACCAAAGCCCCTCTCCAGGTTTCTTGTAGCCCCTTTAGGCCCTGGAAGATGGACATTTCTCTGTGTTTTTTGGAATACGGTGGGAAGGTGGCAATACTTGGCTTTAGTTTTTCATCCAGTGAACTCAGTGTTATGGAATTAGCCTCAGGTTCACCAGCAGGAAATGTAGGCTCTTGATTCATTTGAGGTGGTCTGTGGTTTGGTGCAATAAGATGAAGATTCTTTATATCAGACCAAATATCAAAGTTAACTTCAGTTTGGTCTTGGTCTGTATGTCCAGGCTGAAGACAAATCAAAGGTGTTGCCTTTACATCTGGTGTTTTGTCAGTCTGTTGCCTTGATAGGTGGGATACCCCAGATTAAACTGTTCTGTGGTATTAAGGTACCATATTGGCAACACTTATTTTGTGCAGAGAACAGAACGAAGCAGGGAAGAGGTTTCTTGTGCAGAACATGCCATGTGAACAGAAGACAAGTGACTTTTGGTTGTTCTGACCAGCTCATTTCTCTCCTGGCTCCACAAACATGCACCCACTGGGAATGCTCTGAAAGCATCTCACTGTCCTGAACAGTCAAGTAGAAAACTGTTTGAACAGGATGATTTGAGAGCTCTAACATACAAAGTGCCTACTTAGGGATAATAAAATTGGTTAAGAGTCCTATATTCAGAGTCTCTTTGGATCTTTTCTAAGAATCTCTTCCCTTGATGACTGTTCCCAGAAGTTGTCATGAGTCTTTAGCAATAGGGTTGTAGAAAAACCCTTTAAAATAGAGAAAATCATGTGTTTGAACATATGCTTTGTGCCCAAATGCCTTGCAGAAAGTAATAGGTGTTGCTTGCTTGAAGTATATACTTAAGAACCTCTAAGAGCTGAGGAACAACTTTAAGGGACATGTTGGGTTTTATTTCCTCAAGGAGTAGGTCAGAAAACCCCTTAATTCACCAAGTTAATCTCCATGGTATTTCATGGTGGTTTGAAAGTCACAAGGAATTTCCCTGTTGTAAAAATAGCTTCTGTGGAAGGGAGGAAGTAGTGGACTCCACGCTGTTGCTGGTAACTACTCATTCACCTCTAATACTATCTTTTCCTGTTTATCAGTTCCAGTCAGCTAAAAAGGAAACAGAAGCATGTGGAATGAAAGCACTTGATTTTGCTGCAGTTTGAAGGAGTCAGAGTTCACACACAAGTGTGAGTTGGAGTTGCTTCAACAAGCAGTATCAAGCCTTAACCTGCAGCTTAATCAATAGATGAGTGCAAGGCTGTAGGTGTTCACATAGAGGGGGAGAGAAGCCTTAGGTGAGAGGCTGCAGTGTGTGTTTCGTGGGTCTCTTAGTATTTCAGGTATGTTTGTTCCAACATGTAGGTAAAACATGAGCCAAAAAGCTGTGCAGATTTAAGCTTTTTTGAAGTCAAAAGGAGAGTAGATGGAGTTTCAAAATAGAAAATTGACAGTTTTCCCTCCCTCCCTCCTCCACAACTTGCAGATGTTACTAATTCTGTCCCATTGAAACTACCCCAGCTTCTTGTCTTCACCATTAGGGGAAATAATTGTTGCTGACAAATGGGGAAATAAATGTACTGTGAGGAGCAAATACTGTCGCTAGTGTGCTCGTGATTCCCATCCATGTCAAAGCTTGTTGCCTCTCTGAGCTGGTTTAAATGATAGGATTTTTGCTCTTTTTGCTTAAAGCGAGCTTCTGCTTTGCAATGATCTGCTGTGTTAATGCTGCTTGGCACAGGTTGCTTGAAATGACAACTTGAACATGATGTATTTGGTAATTCTCCTCAGCTTACTTAAAGGAACTAGAACTTATGTCAAATCAGAAGTACTGAGTTTTGGATGTAACCTGTGAAGTCATTCTGTTGAAGTAATACTGTGTATATAGCTTCTGATGAGGTTAACACAGTGATGGTTTGATGTTTATGCACCCTTTTTTCTCCTTTTCCTCTCTTCTCCAGTTCCACTCTTATCCTGGGGACCTAGCTTCAATTTTAGTATCTGGTATGTTGAACTTAATGGCATTGATGATCCAGATGTGGTCCAGCCGTGCCTCAACTGGTACAGCAAGGTAGGCCTGCATTTTAGATGCCTGTTTGAAGATGTGTACTCTCAGAATCTTGTGACGCTTCTCTTACTGGAATTACATGACCTTTCCATTCCTTGGAATATCAGCTATTGAAACAACAAACCTCGTCATTACAGCTCAAACCACATAGTTGAGTTTTTGGCTCGGGGTGAATCCTTTTGAATGGTATCTGCTTATTCTCTTAAACCCAACAAAACACTCCCCAAACACACCACCAAAAACCCCTTCAAACCCCCCTCCTGCTATGTAGACATCACAAGAGAAACAAAAGAAAGGAACACTGAGTCAAATGGGACAATATGAGTAAAACTGTACTTGTATTGGAAGGGAAGTGAATCTCAACAAACCCACATTCCGTTTCTCCCTCATCTTGCCTTTTGATTACTCATTCTTTTACCATACCAGCCCTTCTGGAGAGCTATATGTGAGCCTAGAGCCTTTTGGATTCCATATGCAGCTTTTGTTACAGGCTTTAAAAATGAGCTTGTTTTAAAGAGAATCCCTGTTGGTATCTTTCCTGTTGCAGTTCCTTGCACTTCCAATGTTTCCCTCTTACTGTCTTTGCTGAATACCCTGGAACAGAGGGGAGCTGATGCCACTGGACTGTGGGATGAGATGATTTATGCCATTTGTCACTTTGATAGACAGAAAGTTCAAAGGGTTCTAAACATTACTTGTATAAACTGTATTTAACTAAGTCCAACAGATGCCTCTCCTGTGGGAGGGAAGTGCACATTGACAACCAGAATTCATTTTGTTGCTGCTTTTTATGCATAGATTTTTCTGGATCAATTTAATGAAATTCATATTGTGTTGCAGAGTTTTCCTTCCCAGTTAGGGAAATAGTGAGGAGTGGAGCAGCATCTCTCTGCTTCCAGAAAGAAGAACTTAAAAGGGGATAAAGATTGTGCCTTGTAGTGCTAGGACTCCCTCAGCAGTTTATGGTGCTGCCAGTATGTTAAAGGAAAGCTTGTGGCCTATGCTGCTCATACCAACATGACAAGCTGCTTCATGGAGGATCTAAAACCAGCACTGACAGCCTCAGTGGAAGTTGTTTGTAGCTACTTTATGATTCAAGTGATACTGATGGTCCTTAGTCTGCTGGTTACTGATGTCCAGTTCTGAAAGGTCCGGTTGCTGATGGTTCCCTGTGCTTCTTCCTGCTGCCTCTGCAGTGTCTGGCATTTTGGACCAGATGCTCCAACCAGGAAGCTCTGATTTTTGGTTTTGTTTGGTTGGTTTGCTCAGGAACCATCTGATGATGATATCACCATCTGGTTTGCTCCATCTTATCCCATGGAATTGACACTTCTTGTGGTCAGCATGTATGTAGTGACAGCTTCTTCAAGGAGTGCCAGCATTGTTCTTCTAAAGCTTCGAGCCCTAAAGCAGCAAGGCAGGGACTTAGTCATGATTGTTTGGGCTGTACTAGGATCAGTTGCCAAGTTTTTGGTGGTGAGAGCATGTCTCACTGATGTTCTCTCTCACAGCCCTGAGAGGCCACTGTTGCTGGATCCACATAGGAGGATCTGTGTTGATGCGTATTTGGGGAAAGGTTGACCTGTTTCTTCCACTTCTTTGAGATGGTGTGAATATTTTCTTCTTGGAAGTCTCAGCGGCTTTGAAATCCACTAATTCTTTGCTGCTTGAGACATCAGGTGGAAGTAAGGTTCTACATGAAGTTGCCCATCCTTGTATGTGCTGTAACCAACAAAACCCCAAAAAAAAGGGAGTGGAGTTGGGGATATGGACTCCAAGCAGCAAGCACACTCCTCGGTTCCCTCCCTGTTGCTTTCCTCTTGCTGTCCCTACTGCCTCCTAAAGCCTCACCACTCTGCTTTTCCTAAGAGTGGGTATACTTTAGCAACTAAGTGGCAGTTAAGTAATGGCTATCACTTTGAATAGTGAACACTTAAATATTTCTACTAGTGTATTTGACAGTGTTAATATCTTAGCCTCGTGTTCTCATTACATTTTTAACCATAGGAATTATTTACAGCTTCAGATCCAAGCTATTATTTGGGTTGTCAATCTCTGATGGCGTTTAAAAAGGAGCCTTTTCTACACTTTTTATACACCTTTTTGCATTAAAATAAGCTTTTTACATGCAACTTCTGAAGTATTACTCTGGTGGCACTGAAATACAAAGTTAATATTGCATTGAGTGGTCAAACTGCATCCAACATTGTTTTGTGTTTTATAAACCCACTCTGTTAGTGATGAGAAGCTCAGTGGAAATACGCCAAGTCTGAGTTTTGTCTTATGTCTAAACTGAAGGAGCTGAAATGCAGGAGCTGGTTATTCCTGGTGTGCAGCAATCCTTTTGCTTGCTGCCCCTTTGAGCAACAAAGAATCTAAGGTGGTTTTGGCCTGGATTGATGTGAACATTTGCTTAAAGACAGTGTCTAAGGTATCTCTTAAGAAGAAAGGAAAGTTGTTGTTTTCTAGTTGTGCTGTGAAACTGTGTATTAGCTTTAGTCTTCCTTTGCCACAGTCTTGCATTTTTATCAGTACGTGTCCTTGGCCTTTTTCATGTGGGCTGGGAACTGCTTTGCTAAAAATGCATAGTTCTGGCTATTTGCAGCTGTGAAATACTGATGGATTAAGACCTAAAAATACAGCACATGGCCGTGTTTCTTCTTAGCTGCTTCAGAATATGAGATTCCTGCTAGAGAGCCAGTATTTCAGACCACTAATTTTTGGTGAATGTCAGTGTTAGTTCCAGGTTTTCAGAAAGATGCTATTCATTTAAATACCATAAACTTCACTTGGAGCAGTGGTGTCTGTTTAGGAGTAAAATCTTGTCTGTAACTTCATTAGTTTTTATAGATGCTTAAAGTTACATTTGCTTTTTACTGCGGGTAGATGTGTGTTACAGACGGAATTGGGATTCTTTATCTTCATGTCCTGGTTAAACCACGACACTTTAATGCTTTAGAGTTTAGGTTTGAGGAGTCTATTTAAAATAAGTGGCTCTGCTCCTTATCAGCTTAAAAATCTGTTACTTTTGCATGTAGTTAGCAGCTTTGAAAACACAATGGGTGGTTTGGTGTGTTAACAGCACAAGCTGCCACTCTTACACACAGTTTACTCTCCTCTCACGTTTCTGTGCCTGGATGTTTGACCCAGCGTGGGTTTCTCACCCCTTCCCACAGCCGAGTGGGAGGTGGGCAGCTTGGAATCATCCGTGGTATGAAAGCAAAGGCTCTGCTTCAAGACGCAGGGAGAATATTTGGGAGGTAACACTTTGGCATGCACATCAATCGGTGCTGCCATCGATCCGAAAGCCGCAGGATTTGGGGGCAGGAGCGCTGGTCATTGCAAGTATTCCTGTTTCTCATGTTTAGCTTTTTTTTTTCCCCTCTTCTGCTTCTAGAAAAGCTGTGACCTACTTTTCCAAATTATTTTGTTATGTAAGAGTCATACAATCAACTTACGTAACGCTGATAGCAAAGGCTTTTTCCTGCTCTGCACTTTGTGTAGGCCTCGAGCAGCGGAGGGCAGGGAAGTGATGGTCACTCCAGAGATCTGGGGCACTGTGGCTCTTTCCTCTTCTGCTCATTAAATGGGATGACACCACCTTGTATAACTTCTCTGTACTGTTGGCAAGTAAATCCCTGCACAGCTTATGTCTTTCCACACAGCGTTTCTCTAAGCTTGTGAGCAATTTGTGCAGCGTCTCTAAGCTTCTGTCTCCAGGCATGTTCCCAGGTAAAAGTGCTGGTAAAAGACAAATCTACATGTCTCATAGGTTTTCTTGTGTTCCAGTAGTACCGTGAACAGGAAGCCATTCGCCTTTGCCTAAAGCATTTTCGTCAGCACAACTACACGGAGGCTTTCGAGTCGCTGCAGAAGAAAACCAAGATTGCTCTGGAGCACCCCATGTTGACAGACCTGCACGACAAACTGGTGTTGAAAGGAGACTTTGATGCTTGTGAAGAACTCATAGAGAAAGCTGTGAATGGTAAGAGAACCAGAGGGGTCTGGTGTGTTAATTAGAAAGAGCATTGAGATGTTAACTGCTTTGAATGTTGATGGACTTAGTACTTTCCACTGCATGTCTAGACGTCATCTCTTAGTGAAGAGATGGATTTCTTCACCCTTAGGAATAAGACACACTCTTAGGAAGGTGACCATGGCAGGGGGGGTTGGAACTAGGTGCTCTTTAAGGTTCCTTCCAACCCAAACCATTCTGTGATTAGTAGTAGACTAGCCCATGTGCTATTTCCTATCTAGTGTGGTGTACTGTCAGCTTTTGGACTTGTGAGTATGTGTATGATGAAGGCTGAAAACTCAGTCATGAAATGCCTTATTGCTACTTTTGGAGTCTCTTTCCCCCAGAGATAACAACGTGGTGCACTTGACGTAAAGATAAGCTCTTCATGTAAGTGTCTGGCAAGCTGAAGGAGGGCCTGACTGTCACAAAAGTCACTGCAGTGGTGAAGCATAAAACTTGAGTTCTCAGTAGTGATCTGTGCTCTGGTTTCTGGTTAGAGCTCACCACCTAGCTGGAGCTTCAGCAGTTTTCAGCTGTGTTTGATGAGAATGCTGGTTTTGCTTATGGGGAAAACAGTCCTTGGAGAATGGTGTAGTTGTCACAGTGACTGGAGGCAGAGCCTCTTCTCCCCTGCAGAGCAGGAGCTTGGCAGCAGTTTTCATTGGATCCTCTATTAAATTTTACTTGGAAACTTTCGACTCAGGAGTCCTGTTTGTAAACAGCTCTCAGCTCCTAAAACGGAGGAGATGGACTGATGGAATGGGATGCAGAAAGAGTTGGGCTGTTGCACTGAAGTGTCTGCCAAGACCTGTGCAGTGGTTTTGGGTTATGGTCTGACAACGCAAAGGTGCTCTTGGCTGTGGGTGTGCTGCTTTTTGACTGTGCAGTTGCTGGCATAAGGAGAGAACTTGGTGTCTGATGCCCCTGGAGTTAGTGGACCAATTCCATGGCTTAGTGGACCAATTCCATGGATGTCTGGTTCCAGAGATGTTTCTTCTAATTCTGGGCTAATCAATCATTTTGTGATACCTTTTGGGTAGATGCCAACATAGCTGCTTGACTCCATCAGTGTGGTTTGTACCACTGAAGTTGGAAGTGGTTCTTGAGATCTGATAGAAATGACAGCTTGACAATCAAGGTTTGTCTGCCATGAAAATGCACCATCTTCTTGTGAATAAGCCTCATCCCTGGCAGTGTTCAAGGCCAGGTTGGACACAGGGGCTTGGAGCAACCTGCTCTACTGGAAGGTGTCCCTGCCCGTGGCGGGGGGTTGGAACCAGGTGGGCTTTAAGGTCCCTTCTAACCCAAACCAGTCTGTGATTCTATGAATAAGCTATTCCACTAAGCACAATGTCTTGGAGTTTACTGCAACAGGTCAACAAAACCTGCAGTAAATGGCTTTCTACAGCTTTTGGCTCAAGCTTTCTTGACTCTGTAGATAAAACAGCTGAGCTCTGCCTTGCCCTGAGCTCCCCGAGCAGCTACAAGCACTGAGACAGAGAGCTGCCAGCATTCATCCTGCCCTCCCGAGACAGCGCAGCCGTGTTGGCTGGGACAGGAGCGTGAGCAGCTTCCTGCAATGCAGCGGCTTTCTGGAGCTGGCAGCCTCCTCCTGAGGCTTGTAGGATGGAAGAGCAGCAGGGAGGGCTGCCTGGCTGGCTGCTCCTGCCTCTGCAGTGTTCCCCAAGGACAGGAGCGCCTGGGGGGAGCCCACCACCGTGAGGCAGGATCTGCTGAGAGCCACAGCGGTACTGTGTGCTGATGGAGATGGTTTTATCAGTGCCTGCTGCCTTGGCTGTGGCTTAATCTTGTCAGTGCCTAGAGGCCGTCCTCTTCCCTCTTCAGTGCAGGCTGTAGTAGAAACTGTTTCTTGAATGAAATGGCACTAGAAGCACGCTGAAAAAGTTCCCTCAAAAATGGACTTGTTTTTTTCTTGGCCACTGATGAAGTGAGTGTTTGTGCCCTGATTTTTGGGCTGTTACATGTTAATTTCTTTTACTACTGAGTAGTTAACAGACTGCATTTATTCTATCTACTTTTTCCCCTGGGACTTGAGGTGTTTGTTTCCCTTTCTGTGTTGGGAGTGGGATTGCTGTCTGCAGTGCTCAGCTTTTCCACATGTGGAAGTGCTGGCAAAGGACCTGGCAGGTAGAAAACCTGCTCTAGTGGAGAGTGTCCCTGTCTATGGCAGGGAGTTGGAACTGGATGAGCTTTAAGGTCCCTTCCAACCCAAACCAGTCTGGGACTCCATGATTTCTAGTAACGGACTGTGGATAATTTAGCAGGAGAGTCTTCAGGTAGCACCATTATGTGTTGTCACTGCTTCCGAGGGACAGAGTAATATGCATGAGGATGTTCATATTGCTTCCTTTTAATATGGCACTGGGCTGGCAGAAGTGAAAGGTCAGTGCATGCATCTCCTGTTGCTCTGTTGGTCATCCCGAACGATTCTACTTGTGGTTGAATACATGAACCTTCCTTCCCCCCACCTCCTGCAAGTCTTTAAGCTGACTTCAGCTCCTGTACCCATTTACAGCGCTGTCGCCTCCCAGCAGCCTTTGGAGGGAAGTGCCATCTATCCTGAGGTGCCAAAGCTGTATCCCATGTTTGCTTTAAGCTGACACAACTGCAAGGTTTTACTAAGTGGGTCAGTCCTGCCCTTCCTCAGGACAGTGTGTCCCCTGGCCCCTTGCTTGCTGGCACCAGTGCTCGTGCTGCCACATGGCAAACCAGGTCAGGGAGCTGAGCTGCGGTGTGGGAGAGGACAGGACAGACCTCTTCTGGTGGCCACAAACCCCCTCAAACTGCAGCTGGAATAGATTGAAGTTGTACAAGGGGACAGTTGAATGCAGCTGGTATTTAACAGCTGGATCCTTAGCTACTTCATAGGATGGGAATAGATGTTTGCAGCCTTTGACATAGCTTGTACAATATTGCTCCCTGTGGTCCTCCACAGTTACGTGTCCTTACTCAGTTCTGCATCTCTTGAGCTCCTCTGGTTGACAGAGGCTCCTCAGCACCCAGCATTTTACTGCTTTGCTGTCTTAGCATCTCCATAGCTTGCTGCTTAGTCTCTAAGGTGTGGGTGTTCTTACGACTGAGCTCCTCTCTGATGTGCTGTTTTCCCAGATTAACTTTAATCCTGTGTATGGTCCGTGTAGTGTAGTTGAAGTGTGGAGTTAATTGGGCTATACATATCCTTACAGGATCCCTGCAACCATTCAGAGAGTGAACTGTTCTGTAACACACTGGCCATGAATGTGTGAACCTGTGACCTCTTGTTTTCATTGCCTTAAAGGAACAGAAGTGCAGGGAGACGGATAGGGATCCTGCACCCTCAGTTCAGCCTGAACCATCTCTAGAGGCTGATGTTTGCAGCGGTGGGTATGTCTAAAGCGAAACGCACTGCACCTCTTCACAGGCTATTTCCATAGGCTTAGTCATGGAGAAAAAGAGTAGGTGGTCAAGAATTAGTGCTAAGCAGAGAGCTAACTCCTGTTCTTTTGCATTGCTAATGATGAACGCTGTCTTCCACCTCACAGCACCAGATGATTTCTTTTGAGCGCTCGGTGGCAGGCAGCCTTCCCGCACATTCTTTTGACTTGTGCATTACACTTAGAAAAGGGGCAAATGGAAACTCTGGCAGCTGCCTGACTTCCTCTCAAAAAAGAGAAAGGTTCCCTAAACCTCAGCTGCTTCACAGACTTGCTTCAAATGCTGCACATTTGGATTCATTCCTATAGCTTTCAGCCGGCCTTATATTATTGAAGGGGGGGGGGGAAATCTGCTTAATATTCCTACAGGAGGGGATGTGGAGTGCAAATGACTCAGTTGAGCTGTTTGCAGCTCCTGTAGACATTGAAAGCTGCTTGAAATGGGTTGAAGATCTGCTGGTTTCGTATTAGTATTCTGGGGACTGAGGTGTTGCTTCTGGCAGGACTCCTGTCAGTGTGTGATATGTGTTTATCTGGTGACACATCGGCCCCGTGTGACAAGTAAGAGGTGGTGATGCACAGCCTGAGGGCTCAAGTGTCTCCCAAAACTTGGGATGCACACACAGAAACAGTTGTATTCTTCTGGAATAGCTCTAGACAGACATATATGCCTTCCAGTATCTGGAGGGGGCTACAAGGATGCTGCAGCGGGACTCTTCCTCAGGGACTGCAG